AGATGGGGTTTCACCGTGTTGACCAGGATGGTCTCGATCTCTTGACCTCGTGATCCACCCACCTTGGCCTCCCAAAGTGCTGGGATTACAGGCTTGAGCCACCGCGCCCGGCCAGTTTTTGCATTTTTAGTAGAGATGGGGTTTCACCATGTTGACCAGTCTGGTCTGGAACTCCTGACCTCATGATCCACCTGCCTTGACTTCCCAAAGTGTTGGGATTACAGGCATAAGCCACTGCTCCTGGCCTATTTATTTATTTTTGTGACAGAGTTTTTGCTCTTGTTGCCCAGGCTGGAGTGCAATGGCATGATCCTGGCTCACTGCAACCTCTTCCTGGTGTGTTCAAGTGATTCTCCTGTCTCAGCCTCCTGAGTAGGTGGGATTACAGGCATGCGCCACCACATCCGGCTAATTTTGTGTTTTTAGTAGACATGAGGTTTCTCCATGTCGGTCAGGCTGGTCTCGACTTCCCAGCCTCAGGTGATCTGCCCACCTCAGCCTCCCAAAGTGCTGAAATTACAGGTGTGAGCCACCATGCCTGGCTTCATTATTAAGTATCTTTATGCAGCTAATGTGCATAAATCATCATATTTAATCTGGCAGCTGCTTTTTTTTTTTTAGGTTTTCTTAGTATACATATGTCTTTGGAAAATGAAAGCTCTTATCTTTGTTTCTAGGTGAGAAAAACTGAAAAAAACACAGGCTTTTGTACTTACTGGATGTTTGACAAAATATTCTTTTTGGGCCAAAATAATTGACATTATTGGTGAGCTTGTTAGAAATTCAAAAACTGGGCTGGGTGAAGTGGCTCGTGCCTGCAGTCCGATCACTTTGGGAGGCCAAGACGGGTGGATCACCTGAGGTCAGGAGCTTGAGACCAGCCTGGCCAACATGGAGAAACCCCGTCTCTACTAAAAATACAAAATTAGCTGGGTGTGGTGGGGCATGCCTGTAATCCCAGCTACTTGGGAGGCTGAGGCAGGAGAATAGCTTGAACCCATGAGGAGGAGGTTGCATGATCAGAGATTGAGCCATAACACTCCAGATCTTCCTGAAAAAATAATCTCCATTAACAAGATCTCCAGTTTATCATACAGATTAAATTTTGAAAGGCTCTTTCCAACTCAATGTGTCTTTTCCATCTGAAAAATATACACAAGTCATTCTGTATGATATACATGTAACAATCAAACATGTACATGTTGTGTTCATGCCCTTCAGTTTATACTTTATCATCAAGAAAAATAACATATATACACTGATGCTGTGGATCTTATACTACTCTCTTTTCTCAGTTAGAGAATATATTAGACAATATTTCTGTGTTGAAAATTATTTTCTTGGATAATTTTAGTCACTCCTATAAGTCAAAACAAGATCTCTTTACTCTCATTTCACCTTGAGTCAAATTAAAAATTCTGTCCATAAACACTTGGTAAATATGTGTTATGTGTTTTTCAGGGACCATTGACATTTATGGATGTGGCCATAGAATTCTCCTTGGAGGAGTGGCAATGCCTGGACACAGCACAGCAGAATTTATATAGAAATGTGATGTTAGAGAACTACAGAAACTTTGTCTTCCTGGGTGAGGATAACTTTAATACACAATTCCTAATATACTCTAAAGGTTTCATTTCTCTGTTTTGTTGCATGTATTTTGGCAATTGATGCTTTACATCAATGAGTTTCATACACCTGTTTTTAAGAAAATCTTAAGATTTTTCTCGTAGATGTTTCGTCCTGACCTGAACTTTCCACATTTCTGAGCTGATCTCTATTCTTCATTCTAGATTAGTAATAGTTCCAGAAATTTAGTGGCATAAAATACTGTTGCCCACACCTTAAAATCTAATTGCTACGACCGGGCGCAGGGGCTCACACCTATAATCCCAGCACTTTGAGAGGCCGAGATGGGTGGAGTTCGAGACCAGCTTGACCAACATGATGAAACCCTGTCTCTACTAAAAACACAAAAATTAGCTGGGCATGGTGGCACATGCCTGTAATCCCAGCTACTCAGGAGGCTGAGGCAGAAGAATTGCCTGAACATGGGAGGTAGAGGTTGCAGTGAGCCAAGATCATG